TGGTTCCCTATTTCAGGGGAAAATTGGTATCCAGACTACCTATAGCAGCGCGAATAAAATCGTGCTGCGTCAAGGCAGAAAGGGGAAACCCAGGCTATAATAAAGCAGCATTCATTTATGATTTTAATCCATATAATCATATATTCGGAATTTGTTGTTATTGCATACTCTTTTTATAATATATTACAATCCACTGAGATGTATATATATATATATAAAGTATAAATAGCATTTAACTACTATTTGAACTAGAAAATACTTCTTGTTGCTATTTAGCGCAAATAGCTGCAGCCTTAAAAAATAGGAGGCATAGTATTTACTGCACAGTATACAGTAATTAGTAAGCTTTAGTATATCATGTGTGTCTGAAAATACAAACTTTCTCACTTCACAGCAAGAATCAGCAGTACGTATACATTATGTAAGGCTGGCAAACTGCCGTACTGTAGAGTAATATATACCTCATTTAAAATATAAAGCAAATATGGATAGAAAATGAGCAAATCATTTTCAAATTAGTGCACATTCTAGATTTAACATGCTACCTTTTACACTATTTTCTGTAACTGTCATAGAGTCATTTAACGACAAACAGGTAAAAGTTTAATTTAATTTAATTTAAAATGACCAGCTGAGACAACTCCTGACAATTGCTTGTCCTGCAGAAACTTTTCCACAAGACTCCTCATATTTAATTCAGAGCGACCTCAAGGAAGAGTCAGGCCTGTCTGCTGACAAATCTACAGCTCCAGGAAATATGAGCCACAGTCATATACACCCACACAGACAGGCACACACACACAATCATCCTGCAATTCAAAGTATGCTTCCCTCCCATGGGGTCTGATTCCTCTCCATGTGTCAAATGGCAGGATTTCATTTTGTTGTCTGATTATGGAAAAGCAACCGGCATTTAAAGCCACTTCAGATCTGTCAGTAAGACAAAGGAAGGGGGGTGACAGACGAATTGGATGTCTTGCAAACACACCGCAATCTTTTATATTTTTGTCACGCTTCTTGCCTCCTCTTGTGACCTCAGAAAATCACATCTTCTTATAGCCGTCAAATCAAACACAGAACAAAAACACAAATCCCACACTGCACCAACACTTCAAAAGCACAAATGTATTTTCTAATTTGGTCAAATTACAGAACAGGGAAAATATAAATGAACTGTTAATAAGAACTAATAAGTGTGTGTAATTAGGAAATTAATCATTCAGAGGCTCATTTTGATGCTTTCTTTGTGTGTAAATTAACAAGGGAAGAATTGTTACACGGAAATCAGGACAACTCATTTTTTTATGTTGTCCAAACAGACTTTTTTAAACCATCCTAAGTTCACCGCAAATTGAGATGAAAGCAAGTTGATATGAAAGCAAATTTGACATTATTGCCGGTTGTTCCTGGTCTTGAGTGAATGAAATTTTTATAGTGCATTTTGGATCTTAACTATTAGTTAGCATGTGTTTTATTAACGGTAATTTATTTTGCCTGGAGATTCTGCAAAAGAGACTGCTAAAGGCACACAGTGATGGAAAAATGAGATAGGAGGAAACCATTGCGTCCCCAAGAAACCTGCAAAACCTTTGCATTATCTAAAAATCTTTATAATTTCTCGCAAAACTTTAGCATTCTCTAAGAAACTTTATAATTTTTTTTGCGAAACTTCAGCATTCTCTAAGAAACTTTATATATTTTTTTTGCAAAACTTTAGCATTCTCTAAGAATCTGTATGATTTCTCACAAAACTATAGCATTCTCTAAGACACTTTAATTTTTTCGCAAAACTTTAGCATTCTCTAAAAATCTTTATGATTTCTCGCAAAACTTTGGCACTCTCTAAGAAACTTTATAATTTTTTCGCAAAACTTTAGCATTCTCTTAGAAACTTTATGATTTTTCGCAAAACTTCAGCATTCTCTAAGAAACTTTATAATTTTTTCCACAAAACTTTAGCATTCTCTAAGAAACTTTATGATTTCTCGCAAAACTTTAGCATTATCTAAGTAAGAAACTTTAATTTTTTCACAAAACTTTAGCATTCTCTAAGAATCTTTATGATTTCTCACAAAACTTTAGCATTCTCTAAGTAAGAAACTTTAATTTTCTCACAAAACTTTAGCATTCTCTAAGAATCTTTATGATTTCTCGCAAAACTTTAGCATTCTCTAAGTAAGAAACTTTAATTTTTTCACAAAACTTTAGCATTCTCTAAGAATCTTTATATTTTTTTTTTTTGCAAAACTTTAGCATTCTCTAAGAATCTGTATGATTTCTCACAAAACTATAGCATTCTCTAAGACACTTTAATTTTTTCGCAAAACTTTAGCATTCTCTAAAAATCTTTATGATTTCTCGCAAAACTTTGGCACTCTCTAAAGAGGTTTATCAAAGCCGCTATCATCGAATATTTCTGCTGACACTTCTCTAATCCCAGAGACTAACCCATCGTCCACTGTGCTTTCAGTGATGGCAGTGGCGCTGTGTTGTGTTTGGTCGACGTTTGTTGAAATCACTTTGAATATGACAGTTGCACATAATTAAGAGGGTGTTCCAGTCCATGAATCTGTTCCTGCATTTCTTCCTGAACCAGTCCTAGTTTGAAGATCTTTCCCTGATTCGGTTCCTGAGCTCTACGTCAGCCCGTTGAGACAGCCCAGCCAGAGTCTCGTCCCACCAAGACAGCCCAGCCAGAGTCTCGTCCCACCAAGACAGCCCAGCCAGAGTCTCGTCCCGACGAGACAGCCCAGCCAGAGACCGTTCGTGCCTCATCTGCCCCTAATCCAGGGATTCACCCCAAATATTTTTTGGGGGGCCCAATGTCCCAGCCACGGCCGCCTGAAGGGTCCTCACCGCCGTGGCCGCCTGAGGGGTCTTCACCACCGTGGCCGCCTGAGGGGTCTTCACCGTTTTTCCTGGACTTCATTTCCCAGAATCCTTTGCTCATTAGTAGTTTATATGTTTCAGCTGTGTCTTGCTTCATTTGATAATCACCCTGTCTATTTAAATGCCTTTTTCCTTCATTCAGTATGAAGTCTTGTTTGTGTGCTGGTTTGGTTTATTTTTTTGTCAGTATTTTGAGCAGTTCTTTGTTTCTTTATATTTTCCTGAGTTTTGGATTACTTGTTCCCGTCTGCCTCAGTGGATTGTATTTGTGTTTGCTCTGATTACAAGTGCTTGACCCTCTGCCTGGAAAGGACTATGACTTTGGATTATATTTGTTAATAAATTGCGTTTGGATTCTCACTCTCTCTGCTGAATGCTGTCTTACCACCACAACCAAATCATTACAACACCATTCACTTAGCCATCAACAGCATCTTCAACTAAAACAATGCATATTTAAGACAAGATTTTTCAAGAATGTGATAATACAGTAATTAAGTTATAAACATTTCCAATATGTTTTATTTTGTAACCCTTTTTGGTTTGCAACAAAATAATAAAGTAGCGTGTATTTCATCTGGGGAAAATAATTAGGCTACACACATGCTCAGTATCTCCAGCTCATCGGTTCTCAGTATGTCGGACGCGTCCGAAAGAAACAGTTTTCGGTCAGTGAGTGTACTGGTGATTCGATTTCGAGAAACGTGAGGTGGCGCGGGGGCTACACCGAGCGCTAGGGCTGAACGATTATGGAAAATAATCTAATTGCGATTTTTTTTAACCAATATTGCGATTGAGATTTAATATGCGATTTAAAAAAAAGTTATTTACCTTCTATATTAGTCGACAAAGACAAGCAATAAATCATTGTACAGTAGTGATGGGAATCTTTAGGCAGCTCATGATCCGATCTACTTTTTTTTAATAATTAATCTTAACACTTAAAATATGTATTTAATTACATGTGTACAAACACATACTTTAAAAAATAATTATAAAAAACACATTTAATTAAACCAATGTTAAGAATTTAATTCTCGTACCATAATACAGTATGTTTTTTTTTTCCAAATCTATCTTAAAGGGATACTCTACTGGTTTTTTATATTAAACTACCGTAATTCATCAAATAAAAAACTGGTAGTCTATTAAAAGCCGGACCTCTGATAGTGGCCGGGGTCGACATATATAAATAAAGGCCGGTCTTCAATTAAGACCAGGAGAAATTTAGTGTTGATGATAGGTAATCTCCTGTGCCTTTCATAATGACATAACGTAACACACTCATTTTCCACAAGATATTTTCCTCTACATCTCATCATCGATGTCGGCCCGCTCTGCATCAGCTGACCACTGAGGAGCGAATGTACAGTGATGAGACATCCCTGCCAGATTCAAACTGTGCTTTCTCGCTATGGCTGGGGCTGAGCTAAAGACTTTCAGCATGTCATACCATATATCACAGCTAACAAGTGTTTTTAACCACATCATGTTTATTTTAAATTTCAGACATTTAAATACAAATAAATTTATAGAAAACAATACATTTATAGTTTGTAAAAATGGTGTCTATGGAAGCAAGCAGCAATAACAATTCATTCAAATATATTTGCAGAGGTGTTTTATTCATATCAGATAAACCGTTTAAGTAACTATGAAGTTTACTCTGTTCTTCTCCCAGTTCACCGGCCGCTTACTTTCATTTTGGGAGAAACTGATGAAATCATGCAGATTTCAAGTGGATGCTGCGCATTGGTGGTGGTTGAGGAGATTCCCCCCCTTCTATGTAAAGCGCTTTGAATGTCCAGAAAAGCGCTATATAAATGTAATGAATTATTATTATTATTGAATGACGTGCTGTAATAAATCCAACAGACAGGAATCTCTGAACTGCGCCCAAACAAACATCTCATGTTACAGGTCAAGATCATTTATAACATTAAAATGGATGTGTAAAATGGATAACTATATTGTATGTCATAATACCATAGCAAGTGCTTGGGAGCACTTCAACTCGGCGCAGTAATATCCATTTTACACGCTTAGAAAAGCGCAATGTTTTATTTTGTGTCACCGTTCTTGATCGAGTTACACTACTCTAGTAACTGTATTTAAATAGGGAAAACGTGGAGGTGTTTGGTCGCTTCTTTGCTTGGCCCGTATTGAATGAACATGGCTGAGATAAGATCTAACAAAGTTTCGCCGCAAGACAGAGATTTAGTGCACGCACTGAGACGAGAGAGGTATGTATCAACTCGTCTTACTTAAGGGAATAACATCGTTTAATATGAAGAACCAGTAGAGTATCCTTTAAAGTCATGCTTACCTCTGCAAAATCAGGCTCTGACACAGGTGCTTGCAACATTCCAATATTCCAAAGCTGATTCGGTGACAAATTTCCCTCGGTTCGCAAGGGATGGCAGTTCCACATCTCTATGAAATGCTGCAAATCTGTGTGTATTCTGGGGATGAAAACATATCTCACACAGAATAGGTGAACAGCATTGGACAGGTCAAGTAATCCCTCCTCTTCCAAGCTGTGGAGAACATTGTAGTAACTTGATGTTACAGCAGTCCAAACGTCTCTCCATAGCCGTTCCACTCTAAGACAAAGAAAAGTGTGAGGTGCTGATTTACCTGCATTTCTAAAGTTTACATTAAAAAAAATCAGAGATGCAAAAAAAGTGTATGAGAAGAATACATTAACCATGCTCTCCTATTTAATTACCTCTGGTTATGCACACTTTTTCCAGCAATAAAGCTGCCACGGCCAGTTCCTCGCACAGTAAACATGCACCGAGCAATGTCTACATTCTCCACCCCTTGGTCTGCTCGTACTCTAAAAAAGTTAGAAAGAGCAGTTTTTGATTATTAGAAGTATTATATGTTTTGGTTTCACAAGCCTCAAATCTACAAACACCAAACTCGGCTCAAATAGTCTTTATAGCACGGACAGTTTCAGTACCTGATTATGACTGGGTACTATGAGCAGAGTACAGTTATTACACATACCTGGCAAAGTTAATAAGAAGTGTACAGCTACAAAAATTTACTAATTTATTGATAACAAATTTCTTTCCTCAAGCAATGTAGCTCTTCAGCAATGTTTAGCAGAACGATTGTAAAGCAACACAGCCAAAGTTTAGTAGCACAGTAATACTTATTTAATGAGGTAATGGGTATGTTTAAATTAGGGCTGTAAATTAAATGCGTTATTAACGGCGTCAATTGTTTTATCACAAGATTAACCTTCTTTTTGGCCTACCAAACTTTGTAGTTTTTTTGACATGCTTTTGCAACAACTAGTAACATTAGTAAAACTACAAAACCACAGATCTAGCTAGACCGGAAACAAAACAACAGGCACGCCGCACACACTTGTTTGGGCTTGCGAGCTGGCCAAAGTGAATGAGAAGCGCAGCGAGCCACGTCTAGGACAACTCGTATCACACATCGGACGCGCACTTTCTCAGTTTATGGCCAACAATTTTGTTGTTTAAGGACATTGTGGAAGTAAGATCACAAGCACACACACAACTGATGCAAATTCTCTGCCCCCTCGTCAATATCAGGACCTCGTCAGTATTTATTTAACCCTTTTATTGACGGACAGTGTTACATTGTGTGAGAATCATTCTGTGTAATGTGGATACCTTGATGGCCATCCATTTTTTTCTATTCCATCCATGAAAAACCCAAAAGCTGTTTTGGCTTTGTTATTCCCAGCAACATCCAGGTAAAAGATCTGTTCAGGAGTTGGACACAACAACATAATATTGATATGTAAGATATACAAGAGAAATAATGAGGGGTTGATTATTAATAAATATGTTTACCTTCCTTGAAAAGCCATCAATAGCCCCAAAAATCACTATGTTGTACCTATTTAAAAAAAAGCCAGCATTTACAGCATTTTGTTTGTTAACATAAAATGTTTATTTTATTTTATGAGCAGTCTCTTCTGCATTTCTTCGATCCAAAATATAGTAAAAACAGTAATAATGTGAAATACTTTTACAATTTAAAATATAAATCTTTTTTAAGATAAATTCCTTTACTGTCACTTTTGATAAATATAATGCATCCTTGCTGAATAAAAGTATTAATTTCTTTTAAACAGTAGTGTCTAGTGTTTAATGTTGGAAAATATTTTATTTTAAATTAATACTGTTCTTTTGAACTTTCTATTCATCAAAGAATCCTGAAACAAAATTGTACCTAACTGTTTTCAACATTAATAATGATAAGATTTTTTCTTGAGCATCAAATCATCATATTATACTGATTTCTGAAGGATCATGTGACACTGAAGACTGGAGTAATGTCATGATGCTGAAAATTCAGCTTTACAATCACAAGGAATAAATTACACTTTACATTTACATTGTAATAATATAATAATACTGTTTCTACTGTATTTTGGATCAAATAAATGCAGCCTTGATAAACCAAGATTTTTTTTTTAAAGGGCACCTATTATGGAATTTTGAAAATGACCTTGCATGTAGTGTGTAACATAGATTTAAGTGAACAAAAACATCCTGCAAAGTTTTAAATATGAAAGTTCACCGTATACAAAGTTATTGTCTCTCAAAAGCAAGAGTCGACACCGAGTCGCTAATATGAATCGAACAAAGCTTTTTCTCTAGCTATATGACGTCACCTCGACAAGTTATTTGAAAAAATTACACCCGCACTGCACGCGCCGCGCAGACACCAGTGAAACTTGAAAACCTCATGTTGACAACAAGACGCTGTGTTCTGAAGTGTAAATCAAAAGCAAACTTTTTTTTCAGGGACAAGCATGTGAAGAATCAGTGGCTAGAGTTTATATTTACAACTATACCACACAAGTATAGGCCGAACTGCTGTGTTCACCTCATTTTAATGACGATTGCTTTACAAACACAACTGACTGTGTCATCTGACCAATCACCGCAGATTAGCATCACACAAAGGAGTGGTTCAGAAAAATTAGTCGTTGAACGAATCATTTGTGAGTTGGTGAGCAAATCAGGTAAAAATAAATGCATATTATAAGATAACAAAAGTGTTTTTGTCATTGCATGCATGTAAAACTGTTGTTGGGGACTCCCAGAACAATATTACGAACATTTTAAATGCCATAATAGGTGCCCTTTAAAATATAAAACATCTTCTACAGATCCCAAACTTTTGAATGGTATGTGTAATGAGATTTAATGTCAAATCTCATTGATTTAGTGATAACATCAACATCACAAATGACACAAGACAAACATAAAGCTATGATTAATATTTAATTAAAAATAAATTAAAAAAAATTATTAAATGTATTAAAAATTACCTTATCAGCTTGTGATTAGTATCTATATGGACAAGAGACAAAGGAGCAGGAACAGAGTATGTACGTCTTGCAATGCATGACAGCTGGACCATCCTTGAAATTACCCCTGCACCATCTACACGTTGCAAAGACATCTTAATTCTTTTCCATGTAACACGATGTCCCATTGCTTGTAGAGACCCTTTCACCAGCCTGTATCCAGCATGAGGTGTTCTTGCCTTTATAGATCTAACTTTCTGATCAAGCTCATGATCAGAAATATCAGAATAATTGCTCCTGACAGACAGATTTTCCTCTTTCATTCGCCTGTATAAGGTTGATCTTGAAATGCCATGCACTTCAGCCAAAGAGGCCAAAGGTAAGTGCAAGCTGAGCAAATTTTGGAGTGTTTCTCTTCGTATGTTTAATCTGGGACGACCCACACTTCCACTCCATTCAGCCACAGCTACATTGTCCAACAATGGAGGGACTGTACTCTGTGAAAGGTAATTGGAGATAACTAAATTTAACTGTTCTAGAGCATCCACCACACCCTGGGGTATGTCTATATATGATGCTCCAGCTCGAACAAACTGTAACTCCTGACAGCAAACAAAGTGGAGATAATCAAAGTCAATGGGATGCCTATTAACAATTGAACCAATTCTATCCACAGACCTATGCAAAAGCTGCCATTGCGTGGTCCTGCAAAGAGAAATAACATTTAAAAACAAAATTAGCTGGTGTAACAAATATATAATATTCAGAAGCATGTCTATTTAACTGTATTACTGAGCTTTTGACTAAATCAAAATGTTGCTGTAATGTATCAGAAGGAAATATCGGTGTTACATTTACAAACATGCATTTAGCCATTAATTGTAATAATCCAGTGAGATGTGTATATGCACAATGAGTCTGACAACAGCCGCTATACAGGTAATCTTATTTCACCATCATTGATTTTTTTCTGGGATTACATGAAGAAACAGAAAAAACTGAGACAGACTAACGTTAAATCCAGAAGCACTGTGGCAACATCTCCAAGGTGACGCAATTCTGACACACTACAGCAACATAACCGATGAATAACTGACTTTAAACTATTTTTTGGGTGAAAATACTAACGTGCCTATGACTTTAAGGGGCTGGTGCACCGAAGGAATCTTATAATTATAACGTTAGTTCCTCGAATTTATGGCGAATCTAAAAACCATTGGCCAAAGTCGTGTAGCTAAGTATTTACTCCAGAAACTAACTATACAGACATCGAAAATAGTGGCCTTTAACGTCACGCTGAGAAAATCCAATGTGATTATGTATGTCTCCTCAGATAGCAACATTGGACATCAATCAATCACACGGCAAACGGTACTATTTGGTGTTGGCTAATACAATCTAGTCATCGGTAACACTAACTACAGACTGGTCTATCCGACGCAACGTAACGTTATTAAAATGGGACAGCATAAGAAGAGAGAACCATTCAGTTCACTTGTCAGTTGTCACTATGATATTAAATTGTCTTACTTACCCAGTAAACGACCTGTTGCTCGCCATTCTGGAAGATCGCTCGCTTTTCCCTCAGACAGACTGGCGACGAACGATGATGATGATGGCAGCGGCAGCAGCGGCGGGAAACTGTAGTGGGCGTGGCCAACCTGTCACTTCAATCGAGGGTGACCAATAGAAAAAGGCCTTTCATATGGTTGTTAGAGACCGCCCACTGCGGTACGGTGAACACGCGCAAGCAAAACTTTTCAACTCGCAAGCAAAACTTTTCAAGCCGCAAGCAAAATATTTACACCCGCAAAAAATACAGCAGAAAGGAGAGCAACATGTGTGGGGTTTTGATGAAAAGTTTTTGAAGTACACAAAAAATAAAAAACCGTTTTCAATAGAGTACACGCACTGCAAATAATTTTGTTATCAACTTCTTTATTTTTGAGCCTTTAGAAGACTTTTTTGCACTCTTTTATTTTATTTTATTACAAAATAATTAGATTTACTCTCAAACGCAGTATGTTTGATTGAATAAAAAAGACACAAAGGTAACTCCATACCTTTTCGGATGCAAGTTGATGCAAGTCACGTGGGGGCGGGTGCAGTGCTCCTGCAGAGTGACGAGAAGGGGGTGGACAGGCCAATATGTTACTTCTCGAGAAAGTTTAATTGTCATCAGTTGAATTATTCAACTATTGAGAAGAAAACATTGGCGTTAGTTTGGGGTCTACAACAGTTTGACGTGTATTTAGCTGGGGGTACGGTTCCTATCACGGTGTACTCAGATCATAATCCACTGACATTCCTCCACTCTTTAAAGAGTCCTAGTCAGCGCCTTATGCGATGGGTTTTATTTTTACAGCCATATAATTTAGAGATACGGCACATTCGTGGCGTGGACAATGTGATGGCTGATGCTTTGTCCCGTGCTCCGGGTGGGCTGGAGTGAATGTTTTGTGTTGTCCCATCTTTCTCTCTTCCTGTTTCTACACTCTTCTTCTGCCTAGTGTCCTTAAATGTAGCTTTCCAGGTACCGGGATTTGCTGGAGTTCTGGAATGAGGAAGATTGGAGTGGCTGAAGGGAAAGGGGGGGGTTGGGGGCCTATGGACAGAGTTTTTCTGTCCAGTCCAGGCATATGGATTCTCAATATCTGGGAACTTAAGTTAAGTGCTCATTCTTTTCCATTTTATTGTTTATTTTGTGGTGTGGGGTTTTGAAGGATCTTGCAGAGTCCTTTTAGGGGCCTCTGTTTTAAGGGAGGGGGTGTGACGATCTTGGACCTGTTAGCTCCACCTTTTTCTTGCCTGTTCATTTCGTCTCCCCTAATAGGTGAGACGAACGCAGGTGTGGCGTGTTGCAGGTGATTGCTCCCGGACCGCGTGTGGTTGCTTTCCTGGATGTTAAAAGCTCTCCAGAAGTGATTCAGAGGGGCCGCCGCTTCTCCTTCGCTCTCCGCACCGGTTTGCTGATTTTTGTTTCTTTTTGCATTACACTTCACATACCCTGATGGCATTTGTTTTCTTTTTATGTGGTACATTTAAACTGACTTTAATTATTTTATGTTGGTCATTCTTTGTCTTAAATAAATACATCTTTATTTGAAAATCAAATTAATCCGCGTGGTCTCCCCTCTCTGTTGCATAAGCCGGCGCTGGCAATATGTAACAGTTGGCAGTCGTCTCTCACTGATGTCGCGGCGCTCATCCATCATTTTTATTCACGCACGACTCATGTCACGAGACGGTCTGACTAAACAAAATCACGGTAAACTAACGCAGTAACGCAGGCTGTTTACGGGGAAGTAACGTAATCTAATTACTGTTTTTTCAATTGTAATCCCTTACTTTACTCGTTACTAGAAAAAAGTAATTGGATTACAGTAACGCGTTACTTCTAACGCGTTACTGCCCATCAGTGCACATAACGTTATCCATGTTGTAAAAATTTAATAAGAAAACATATCTATTGCAAATGCAAACCCGTTCATCAGTGTCAGTGTCAGTGCCGTCTTGCCCGAGAGCTGCATGGACTCACAAAACGGATCTGAAAAGTTGCGATAAATAGTGTGGGCATCATTTTAGATCAGATTCCAATCGGATACAAAGATATTTTGGCAGTGTGAATGTAGTCATAGTTAATACGTTAGCATTTTAGCCATAGTCAAAGCTTCGTTTAACTTGCACATGTGATGTGGCTGATGAGCTGATGCTGTGCCTCTCTCACCACAAACGCCTTCTTTCATCAGTTTTTTGCACTCTTCTCTTTAACTTTTGGCAGTCTATAAAACTCGAAAGGTATTTTCCCGATGCAACCGATAGGTACAGACCAAAAATCGACAATTTTTCAGCAGAAATATGCGAGCCCGTTCAATGGCATTGTTTATGTTCTGTGCCTCCAAAATGGCCGACTTCCAGATTGATATATACACGACGAGTCGTAAAAACCTATTGGGTCACATCGTTCACAAAATGGCGGACGGAGTCCTCAATTCATTTTCATATTAAGAGCCATCTCACTCAGCAACAGACAATGACCCAGCTTTCAGCATTATACCCACACATCAAGTCCCACATCATTCCTCTGTTAAAATTTACAGAAGTATAATAAACATTTTCTTACAGGATCAAAATGTGTATACTTTCTAGGACAATGTTTGTCTGTGCTGTTTGTCTGTGCTGTCTGAATTGGCCTTAATCCAGCTAACATTTTGTGCGACTTTATTTTCTTCCACAGATCAAAGACTGTGCTCGAAATATTATTAACGTAAATTACATTCAATAAAAATGGCGTCTAGCTTAGTAACTAATTCTTTGCCAAGCTGCAAAAAAGAGCTAACGTCCCAGCTAACGTTAGTCAATGTTAGCTTCGTTCGCGCCATAAAGGTCTCCAACTTCATGGTCTCCCTTTCATATTAACGTTAACGTTACCTAAATTGCAACGTTTACTCAGACGTGATAAAGAATTTGATGTTTTTGTCCTAATTAATAATTTTTAATTTAATTCTGAATTCTTTCTTTTCCTTTATCTGGAGGGAAGCATGTCAAAGTTTAAACGGATCGATAATAACATTTTATCAGCAACATCCGAAAGTTCGGAGTTAATGTTAAGGGAACTCGATTGAAACTACGCTTGGCGTGAAATGTTGATGCTTGAAATGAAAACTTACCTCAAGTTCACCATAATGGCGCAGGATCGAAAAGGGATTATTCCAAGTCCGGCCTTGAGTCTTATTTCGCCCAAAGTTGTGCACATGTCACTCCAGTGATGAGCTGAGCATGCTGCAGCAAACGTTGAACTCGGCTTCACACCGGTAAACGGGTCTGAGCCGAGCACCCAGAGTTTAAACAGCCGTCACTGTCTGGTATATTTGAAATAGCCAATGAAATGAATTGCAGACTCAATGTTGCTGTTGTACACGCAGGCTACCCATTTCATCCCATTAACCCAAGTAAATACAGGATAGTCTATCTTAAACATTATGTTGGCCGGAAGAAAAAATTTTGGCTGGCATTTTGTTTCTGTTATCCATGTGCGAGTGTCAGCGGGATGCATGTTTAAAATACATAAACGTAATGATCATGACAACTAAATATTTTTGTTATGGTTATTAATATTAAAGAAAGAAGAAAGAAAGACTTTGAAATATTTTTATGTTATTTATTGCTACATTAAAACCATCCTTGATTTAACCAGCCGAGTCATTTCCAGAAGTGGTCCAGATCATACAAACATGAACGGGTTAGCAAACATGAATCAACCCAGTGCTTATAGCCGTAAAAAAATGCATGTGCCAGAGCGAGCTGCCAGCCTGGTTATCAGTTACGGTGAACATGAATCGGCCACTGAGTCCGATTGAACCGATTATCAGATCGAACTGATCGATATATCTAAATATCTTTAGTGTAACCCTGCGTCTGATCCCTTTGCTGAAGCAACTCAGAACAGGTCTTCAAGTGTACAATTTTGTGGACATCCTGGAAGAGCATTTAGGATTGTGCCAACATTTCATTGTCCCCAGTGCAGTGGGTGATGACAATGAGGTATCACTCATAGGTATAACATTAAATCTGATAGTAACTAAATAAAAAAAAATAAAACACTTCAGTGTGCCAACGCACTGACTGAAGGTAAACAGGTTAAATGGGTCAATTACTTGTGCAACATCACTTGTTAAATCAGGCACAATTGTCAGAACAGACTGCTTGGTAGTTGATAAACAAGTGCAACCATCAAATTGACGAATTGAGACATTCTTAATTGTGTACCACTTCCCGGTCACAAGGATATCTCCTCCTCAGACAGTCAACAATAATCCACTGGTTTTATCTGCCACTTCATAGGGTCGTCTTAGCAATCTTTGATTGCTGCGAGTCATTGACTGTGTATCCTCAGTCAACTGGATCACTTTACTTGTAACATTCACCTAAAATACAAAAAACATGATTCAAAAAATGGTTAAACTAACAAACAATCTCTTTTCTTGGAAACAATAACCTTAAAGGTGCCCTATAATGTGAAATTGAATTTATGTTGGCATAGTTACATAACAAGAGTTCAGTACATGGACATGACATACAGTGAGTCTCAAACATCATTGTTTTCTCCTTCTTACTTAAATCTCGTTTTTGAAAAACACCTGAAAAACGGGCGAATCTCCACATAATACCGACTCTGACGTAAAAGAAGATGACACATCATCTCTGCGTCGCGTCGAAGGGGGGTTTCCCGGCCGGGTCCGTTGCGTGGTTTGTTGTCTTTGAAGTGCAGGGATGGAAGTTTCGCCGCTGGTCACGTGTGATTAGCAAGCGAATGAGAGTCTTTTCCAATTCGAAGCGCGTTGCAAACTTAACTTTGAAACGAGACTTTTACGAAAAAGGAAAGAAAGGAAAGAAATGAAAGTAAGGCGAGTCGGATGGCTTGACTGAGCTGAATTGTAACCCTGATCTTGATGGGTTATTCGTCTGCTGGTCGAATTTGGTCTAGTCGATGTAGAAGCATGCGGACATGTTCTTTGTTTCAGAGATAAGCACGAACAGAACACTCTCTTGCTAGTTTTAGAGAGAGGCACGAACTTAACAGTTACAAACTAGAAACATGAACAGAAAAATCTAACAGGAACGCAACAAAAATCTCACAAAAATCTCCACATGAGGTCCTTTGTTCGGATCTTTAGCTTAAACTCTAGTCCAACCTCCTAGAAACTTCTGGCCTATGAGGTAATGGCATGACTTTAGGAGGTGGATCTACTTCTTGCTTATCATAATTTATGCATGGTCTGTGAGCTGGTCTCCAGCACTTAGCAGAGACCAAGAGAACACAGTTTAAGATTATATATTATAATCATAAAACAAAGCATTTTACGCAGATTTCAATCAAGCCATCTTTTGAATTAGGAGAATACGGTTCGTTTAAGAGTAAACGAGGCATTCACACTTCTAATGGTTGTATAACAATTACAAGAGTTAATAGTTAACAACAATTACATGATTAATATGCGATCTAAGCATTAACAAACACAACACATGAATTGCAGGAAGCAATAAGAATTGTGAGGTTTGATTATGCGTCCCAGAATAGTTTATATGATTTTATGCGTGAGATCTCAGAGAGATCTCAACAGTGAGGTCGTGGCACGTTCAAGGAGTATGGGTCTGTGTTATGTCTTTGTCCTGTTCAACAGAGATGATGTTGAGGGAGGTCAAAGGTGGTCAGGCTTTTGGTGGTCAGGCCTCTTGTTCCACCATTTCTGAGCCGATTTGTCTTGGTAAAACATTAACATATTGACACGTTTGTCCTGTTTAGTGCCTATCTCTTGGGCCTGCAGGGCAATAAAAAGTCTCCTGAGGGGGTTTTATTATCCCCTAAAGCAAACCCTCGGCGCCGTTCCGTGACTCTGGAATGTGGGCTCCAGAACTTGGAGTGTTGAAGCCATGTGAATTAATCCCATGAGAGATTAATTTGATTAAGTTGTGTTTGATTCGCCTCGATTCTCTACACTTATATCACTGACAACAGTAGTCCGGCTAGGATATTGTCATTTAAAAAGTAAAGTTGCAGCCCTCAACTGTCATGTTGTGTTTTGGTCTGATGCTCCGCCCTCCACTGATCCACCAATCACGGAGTCAGTAGTGTTGCAGCATTCGGGTTGCCAGCTCTGCTCTAGTTACCACAGCTGCAGATACAAATGTGTCGGGAAAAAAATTTTTGGATGGAGGTTGCTAATTATTTTAATATTTATTTTACTTCTATAGCAAAACAGCTGGTCTTAAAGCTTCAACCTTTCCATGGGTTTTTTAATATAGATAGGGTGAAAGCATTCTACAATAAACTTGGGGCATTGCCAAATTCATTTTCTTTACGGAAAGTTGAGATAGGGGAGATGGAAAAAAGCTATTACAGTTAGACTGCTCTAAGGGACCTGGTTTAGATGGGTTATCTCCTCGGTTTTTACAAGATACCGCTGCCCAAATAGCCCCATACATCTCATATTTTTAACCTGTCTGTTGAAACTGGAGTTTTCCCTCATGACCTCAAGAGGGACAAGGTAATCCCCCTTTTTAAAAAGGGAAATAGCCACGATCCCGGTAACTATTAGGGGTGCACGATTCAGAAAATGTCACGATTCGATTCGATACCGATTTTGTCTCGAGATTCGATTCAAAATCGATTTTCGATTCAAAAACGATTCTCGATTCAAAAAACGATTCCATGGTCTATATAAATGTAGTTTACTTGTTCCTATGTGATTGATTGCAGTAGACATAATTTAAAAGAAAAGTTTGATAATACTTTGTCTTCATACAAAAATAAAAACTTTTGCCAAGCTTTGGCCAGCTTTTAAATACATTTTATTCAAGTTTAAAATAAAACTTAAATAAAAAGCTTTTACATTTAGCTTTAAAGTGCTGTAGTCAGATCAAACAAACAATTATGCTAAATGTGGTTTAAGGAGTAGGCCTACTTCAGCTACCAGGTTGACTGAACTCGACTGGGCACATTGAACTTCCTAAAAATATATACTAATTTCATAGGACCCTTGCGAAAATATTTTAAATAGATTTAAAAAAGCCACCGCTACTGGTAACATCTACGGTTAGATTGATTTATTTAGATCCAGTGAAGTCGTTCATAGGCGCGTAATTTGCGGGTAACTCCAGTTAACTAGCAGAGCATTCATTTAGGTCGCTATTAAATAAGAGACCTGTCGTTTTTGAAATCAAGCTGAGCGCTCGTGTCCGCTGCGATCAGTGTCATGGATATACAGTGTTCTCTGTGGCTCGTGCAGTCTTCTCTCGGACGCGCGCTTCATATCGCCGTTGTGGAGACTCCGGTGAAATCACAAAATAAAATGCACACAAACGTGATGAACATATTCGGTTTTGATGAGAGAGAGAAAAAACTTTACGAGTGCGGGTTAGAACCCATAACCTCTGACACGCTTGGCAAAAGATCTACAGAACTCAAATCTGCGGATCGATGCATTTATTTACGGGTTGAGCAGAGTGGCTGCACATAAACATGCTGAAATCATGCTATCATAAACATAAACTCATAAACTTGACCAGCGGGCGGCAAGAACTTGCAATAACTATTTATCAGACCGGCCTTTGCAGACTCGAAACCATAGAAACACTACCGGACCACCGGTAAAAGTCCCGACTCACCCGATTGCCACTCCGCGCCTGCACGCCATTAAAAAATATAGCCTATATATATGAATCGATTTTTGGAATTCTGTGAATCGATTCTGAATCGGTAAAGATTGAATCGCGATTCAAATGTGAATCGATTTTTTTGCACACCCCTAGTAACTATAGACCAGTCTCTATTTTATGTACAGTTTCTAAAATATTTGAAAGGCTGGTCAATGAGCAATTAAATGAATACATGAATAAAAACAACTTCATGTTTAAATTCCAATCCGGATTCAGGAAGTCACATTCTACCGAATCATGCCTTCTCTATTTATCTGAAATCATTCACAGGGAAAGAGATCATGGAAAAGAGATCTGTGGAATGGTGTTATTGGATCTGCAAAAGGCATTTGATACAGTGAACCATGACAGACTGATTGCCAAACTTGAGGCCTTAGGGGCAGACAGCTCCACCTGTGGATGGTTTAGATCTTACCTATCAGGGAGGGAACAACTGGTAGCCTTAGGGGGAGCAATGTCAGATCCTTGTATAATTGAGTGTGGCGTTCCACAAAGAAGTATTCTCGGACCGTCATTATTTTTAACATATATTAATGATATGGCCGACTCCTGTTCATGTGAACTATTTTTATACGCGGATGACTCTGCACTCTTAATGTCTCATAAACAACAATCCATTCTAGAGAGTAACCTGAGTGCTGAGTTATCTTCTGTAAACAACTGGCTGATTGACAATATGCTGTCTCTACATTTTGAAAAGACAGAGGCTATTCTGTTTGGTTCAAAATATAAAATAAACAGATGCTCGAAATATAGGGTTATTTTGAATAATATTGAGGTCAGTTTGAATAATATTGAGGTCAGAGGTCAGAATAATAAACGAGGTCAGTAAAATACCTGGGTTGCATCCTAGAAAACAACTTGGATGGCAGGATGATGGCCAACAAGGTTCTGAGTAAAGTCACTGGGCTGATAAAGTTTTTAGCTAGAAACTCTACATTTTTAGATAGGGTCAACAATGATCATTTTAGCTAACGCTTTAATTTTAAACCAGTTTGAATAGCATGCACTTCCTGGTTTGAAGGCCTTACAAAACGATATCGCCACAATGGTGACTTAAATGAAACAAATATCACCATCTAAACAATGTAAGGAAATTACATTGAAATAAACAAGAGTTTTAATTTAATGCATTCTGAAAGTGCTTATTTGGTCAAGAAACAGTATAAATTGTCTAAATGAGACCATAAATAATGTTGAAAATGGCCACATTTGAACTAGTTTTTAACCTTGTACGAAGGATCCATTAACATCTTTTTCAGACGTCCAGAACACGTCAAAAAAAGACGTTATAAAAACTTTCATTCCGGCCCCTCAGTGGACGTCTTTTCAACGTCCGACTATTGTGACAAAGACGTTGAAAAGACGTCTTTTGGACATCACTTTGCTCAGTGGGTCAGTTCAACCAAACATAACCAAACATAAACAAAAAATCCAAATCAAAAGATCCTCATCAGGGGAAGTACATCACATCAAATCTCCAAAGCGGTTGTGCTCTCCCGTGACCCATATGTCCCGTGAGCTCTCCGTCAACTTCTCTGTTTAACCCAGTGTCTTTTAAAACGTCATGATCTGGTTCAGGTGTAAAGCCACGCCCTCCAGCAATCAGCCTGTAACTCGGGGACAAACACATGAGCGCAACCACTCATTGAACCGTCACAGTATGAACATTTCATTTCAAAGACGGGAGGACAGTAAATATTGAAGACTCTGC